ATTCGCCGTAGACACAAAACCATTAGGCAACTTCTCAATACGAGTATTATCTCGATTGACTATGTCAAGTCGAAGGATAATTTAGCGGATCCATTAACCAAAGGGTTAACCAATGAGCAACATGAGAAGTTAGTGGTAGGAATGGGTCTGAAAGCCCTACCCTGTGCTGGGAACGTTCCATGAAGGAAAACCCAACCTAGGTGGAACCTGGGTTCAATGGGACAACCTACTTGTGGAACGAAGCACGGTCACTGTGGGGGCAAGCCGGTTCACCGACTTTGACACTACCCCGTTCCTACTGAGATATAATGACTCCCGAAAACGATGAGGTTAGCATGACGCTTTAATGATTCTTGAACTATGGACAACGAGGTCCAAGTGGAGTAATCGGGATACTCTTAGAAGAATCACCTATGTAAGAGTAAAGTGCGGTCGCTTCAACAGAAGGATTTCGGGCTGATCCTGTCTGACACTCTCGGTCTTGGTCTACGCACAAGGTGCTGGTATTACCCGTGTGGGTACTCTTGCCTTACTACCAACCAACTTTGAACACATAACATATAGCAGCAAATGTATTTGCCGTCATGTCAAGTTTCTGTAGTGCAAGATGACTTGTCGGTCATGAGAAGGTATACTTTACAAGGAGTAGGTTCAAAGGCATAAAACCTACCTACTCTCGCAGGTTTCAACTTCAGAGTTATTGCCAGTTACATGAATTAATTTTCATTCATGTGGGGGATTGTTGGAATATTTTAAGTAAATTGGACATTTTCGGACATAAATTTGATAGGGTCCACAAAATTATTTTTCCAAAAATAATTATGGACGATTAATCTCGTAAGTAAGACGAACGTCTTGACGTATTACACGCCATAAACGGTGCTCGGGTGAATGAGAAATTAATTCTCAAAGTTGAATATTAAGGTAGAGTAAATGCCTTTGTCCCACACCGGTTTCTAAACCTTTCGTATTCTCATATTTAAGCTTAGGCATTGAATTGAGCTTATGAAAGGAACAAGAGGAGAACTCCTCGCGCGCCCGCCGCCGCCGCCGCCCGTCCGGCTCTGCACGTCACGACACGCGCGCGTCGGGTCGGGTCGGGTCGGGGCGTGGCGTGGCGAGGCGCGTCGCGCCCGCGTCTGTGCTCCGGCTATAACTCCCGTCGTTCTCGTTCGCCGGTGCTTTGTTCTACCGCTCTAGACCTAGCACGAAGCGGTTTTATCCTGGGAGGAGATTGTCCACGTTAGCCAGTGCGGGAGGCGGGCAATACTACCTTAAGGAAAGCTTCGGCGACTCCGCTTTCCTTACCTACGGTTCAAGAAATATCTCCGGCGACCTTTTTTTTTTTTTGTTCTCCGTCCGAAGTAAAGTCCGTTCGAGCCCCCGAAGACTCCTACTTTTACTTTCTTTTATTTTTGTTGTAAAATACGAACGT